TTTTAAAGAAGTCTCAAAGCTCACACTTACTCACACGTGTGAGGGTCACTGGTTTTGGGGTTTCTACCAGCAAAATGTATCCCCGAGTACCCCGCGGACCCTATTTTTCCTCCTCAATTTTTGGGGGAAAAAGTGCGCGTGGTACAGTACTCGAATAAATACATTAATCTGACGTGTTCATCAACTATACCGTCTAAAATTACCGTGTTGTGCTTGGGTTCCTGCGATGCTAACCGTTACTTGGTCTTCTTTTCCTCCAGGTGAATTTCCTTATCAGGTCGCTTTGAAAATCAACAACGGACCACGACAGCATTTATTCTGTGGTGGCACGCTTATTTCTAGAACTTGGGTGATCACTGCGGCTCATTGCCTTGAGTGGATGGATGGGAAATACGAAAATGTCCGGGTAAGAAATGGGAATCATCGCCAATTTATTATTATTTTATTTTTTTTCATGGACACCCTCCTTCATTAATTTTTCGTTTTTATGTCTCGCTCTCTTTTAAGGTTATACTGGGAGAACACGATTTGATGAATGAGAAAGAGCTCACGGAGCAGGATTTTGGTATCAAAGCCGTCGTACTGCACGAGGAATATGACAAGTAATTTTAGCGATTTTGTTGCTCTTTTTTTCTATCATTGGAATTTGCAAACTTCGTTTTTTACAGATGGAAGCTTTGGTACGATATTGCGCTAATTTTGCTTGACGGGGTGGCTGAGTTTAGCGAAAACGTTCGACCCATCAATCTTCCGAAGCGTCTCGAGACAGAGTCTATTGGTATGTTTTCACATCATGAGTAGCTTTATCTGAAAATTGGTTTCTAGTTGATGAAATGGTTAGGATTCTTGCGGAAAGTCTCTGAATATTGGTCTTGTGGCATCTAAATTCACTACAGTGAAATGACTAAAATCTTACTACAACGGAGCCGTTTGGATTAATAAAATTCCAATTTTAAGCCATTTGGATAAATAAAATGGCTTCGTGGTAATGAAAGAAATTCGCTCTATATTAACTAATTTTACATTGTGGCTATTGGACAGGTTCTTAAAATGCGACTTGTGTTGAAAGCAGTTATTCGTTTTCAGATTGAATCAGGCTGTGACAAATGTTTGTCGTCGAATAATTCATCGGCGCCCTGAAACAGATCTTTTCTCACTTCTGGACGGATTCTTGAGTAGATACCGTTAGATTTTATGCTCAATTTTTGATGTGGAGCTCTGTGTGAGTCAGCGTCAGTTAGAATATTGGAGTAGTTCAACGGGCATATCCATGGTTGGGCATATAAAGATGTCTGATCGATGAGGTAGAGTTTTTTCGGTCGTCCGTGTACTCGAATGCCCCGAGGAAGTGTAAGACCATGCTTACCCTTATCTTTTTTTTTAAATATACGGTATCAAAGTACAGTATCGTACAGTCATACCTCGATAAGCTGCCGCCATTTGTTTCTGAGGTTTTCGGTGGTTTAACGGGGTCAGCGGTTCAATGAGGTTGGCCATTTATTAGGAAGAACGAGAATACAGTACTGTAATGTGAAAATCAAGTTTAACATGAAATGAAAAAAATGTTCTTCTAGAAAAGAATAAAAATAACTTCGGAATGCGTAAATTTTGTCTAGCTAATGTTTCCAAGAAGTAAATTATGTCATCCGTTTGTGCGTTTTTTTCATTCTTTTTTTTTTTTTTTTTTTTTTTTTTTTTTTTTCTNTCTTAACGGGGCTTGACTGTGATTCTCTCCAAGCTTAAAAAATGCCATTGTTCGAAAAATGTTCGTTGCAGGTAACGCGACGATTTCGGGCTGGGGAGCCACGCGGGAAGGTGGAGCTGCATCTGAAGTTCTCATGAAAGCGTATGTGCCGATCGTTCCGGATGATCGTTGTCGATCGGATTACGAGGACGTGGAGGGGGCCGAGATCATTGCATCGCACATTTGTGCCGGGCACGAACGCGGAGGGATCGACTCGTGTCAGGGTGACTCTGGGGGACCCATGGTGTGCACGGAACGAGTGCTGCAATCTGGACGCCGCTTTTTCCGCGTGCTGACGAATGGCGATGAGACTGAGGTGTGTGTGTGTGTTGGAGGGGAAAACAATTGTTATGCTTCAGGAGGGTATTTCAAGTTTATTATGTTCTGTGCATTATTGCACATTTTCTTGCTCTTGTAGAGGATTTTAGAAGACTTTTCGGTCAGGTATTGATTTCTTTTTTTTTTAGTTTTTTTTTTTTCGTTGCTGTTATCTTTATTTCTTTATAGACGTGGAAACTTCGCACGGTAATTCTATCTTTGGTCGCTACACCTGGGATATGCGCTGGGCTACTCGATTGAATCCTTTTGAGTGAACGTCGGATAGTAGATTACTGTACTCTATTTCTGCTTAATATATTTTCGTAATGAAAGTCTGTTCTTGCTTTTGTAAAAGTTTGTTGTTGAATTCTCTGTTCTTCAGCATTATCCGAGAATTCAGGAGCAACAGCGGTCCTTGATGCTGTTTCATCAAGTTACGGTAGTTTGGAATGTGACCAAGAATTAGGAAGTGTTTTTTTCTGCCAGTCATTTTCATAAACTTGGAACGCTTGAAGCCGTTTTACACTGTAAGTGCTACATGAATCAATACTGTACAGTGCATTTATTGTCCATGTCCTTAACTTTTATGAAGAATTCATGGCACTAAGAAAATTTTCAGTCACTGAAGCATTTTATTTTTCGTCCTAAGTTATCCCGAAGTTCAAAGGTAATCGGTAAAGCATGTGCTTCTCCCTTGATTGTGCTGCGCCTTAGCCTAGCGATACCGTATTCACTTGCGTGAGTACCACACGCACATTTTCTTTTTTTTCAAAANTATATATATATATATATATATATATATATATATATATATATATATATATATATATATATATATATGTATATAAAAGGAGTGAGTTTCATAGGTGGTTATGGATATTTCAAAAGATTTTAGAAGTTCAGGTTTGCATCATCACTTGATTCCAATGAGAAATTTGAACCAATTTTATCGAGAAAACTTATTTTATTACGGAAGAAATCGAAAATTAGTTTAATTCAGGTTCAATTTATGTCGAAATGCAAATTTGTGTGCTCTCATATTTGAAATTTTGCAGTTTTAGAGTCGGTGCGCGTCTTACTCGGGGATACCATTTATTGAAAAATGTTGACTGTAAACCCGGGTGCGCGTTTTAGGGCGCTTGGTACTCAAGTAAATGCGAACAGGAAATTAATTTTATTCGTTAGATACTGTGCAGTACTTCGAATATTAGGATGGAGTGTTAGTTTTGCTTCAAGCAATACTTTGGATTGAGAACCTTTTTGGGCTAGTCACTTCTCATATCGATCCACTTCTCTCTGTTTGGAAAACACGATGAAGATACAACTTCAGTGACACATAGTATTTTTCGATTATTTTTTGCGTTACTCTCTTATGTTTATTACGGTATATCAAATTACTGTACTGTATTTTGAAATGGATCCATATGAAATGGATAGTACAATACAGTACAGTATTTCAAATTTTTATCAATTGGCCCTTTGCGTTTTTAACCCCTGCAATATAAAACATGTCCGCGCCCGGAGCACTGTAGTTTTTTTCGCTGTTGTGTTTAAATCGTGGCGAACTTAGAGAACACGTGTCGTCCTTGTGTACTATATTTTTGCATCCTGTCGAATGGATAGGAAAATGATCGTCCAAATCAGTTGTCGAAGAACCGATGGAATCTTACTTTTGGTTCCAAGGAAGTGCCGGTGGTTGGCAAAAAGGAAGAAGGTGAAGTGGAACCCGTGGAAACTGGGCCATACTTGTGTGGGGTTGTTTCTTTCGGTGCCGGTTGTGGCCGACCTGGACACCCTGGAGTTTACACGCAGGTCTCGTACTTCCTGCCATGGCTCAAAAAGAGTATCGCTTCATTCACCGATCATCGTGAGTTAATTTCGAATTTGGCTATTTTTCTCGATTCAACCGAGTAAATCTCTTCGCCGTACTTCAATCATTTGCATTTTTCAATGTGCCTTCCATCCATTGCGTTTCGTGCATATATCGCTGTAATAAGTCCATTCATGTCCATGTTTCTTGCAGAAGACGGGCATGAAGAGAGTAACATGGCAACACTGCCGAGTAAGCATGCATTGGAACTTGACCTTTTGTTTTGAAAAAGAAAGGTTGATTATTCTGGTACTGTATTTGCAGCGAAAGATTTTTATCCTTTCATGGGCATGGTGAGCTATATTCCGATCGACTTGCTTTCGCGGAAAGACCCTGTGTCGTGTGTGGGAACGCTTTTGGCGGAGAATCTTGTGCTAACCTCGGCCGATTGCATCACTCCGTTCATTGAGGACAACGAAGGAAATTCATTCTGGGTTGGTTGATTTGTGTTCGAGTTCTTGGAAATTCTAGCATATGATGTTGTATTAAATTTAGGTTGGCTTCGGGAAGCACGTCGTCCCGGGAAGCAAACATTTCCAACGGATCCCAGTTTCGGATTGGTTTGGCTTCCGTCCTGATCGTTTTCTGCGCGACATTGCTGAGTAATGAATTTAAAAGACCTGATGGCGATATTAGCGCTTCATTTTGATATTTGATTCCAAGTGGAGGATCTGGGGATGATTCGAGCTCCTCCAAGGCCTCACAATCGAATTCTGCGAACAAAGCCCTTGTTTTGGAACTAGCATGGGGTTTAGTTTATGACAACGACGCGTACCCGGTGAATCTGCCGATGATGAATAATTTCACCGGTTCGTTACTCCTTTTCCTATTGCTGCATGCCGTTCTCATTAACTGACGTCCTCCTTTCTTTTCTTTTTGTTGTTGAAGGAATGAGAGCACAATTGGTGTCGTTGACGCACAAGAAAGACAAGTACTTCTTCCGGCTGAAAATGAAACCTAGAGTCGGCGAGTTTGAGCTTACGGATCTCAGTGCTTGTGGAGAAGATAGTCTTCGCGTTTACAATCTTGATCCGCAAGATGCTCTTTGCGGAAGAATGATTTCCGGAACACGGAAATGCCTTGTGAGTTCTTTCAACTCGAACCGGAAGAATAAATTAATATCTCTTCCTAACAATGTAATATTTATCGAGAAAGAAACACTGTGAACACTTTGATTCACATGATTATTAGACTTACTGTACTTGCTTGATGGCATCTCAAATACCTGTGTAAAATATTTTTTATGGTGCGTTGAAATATGTGCGACGTATGAAATTAAATATGTCACTACTGTACTGTAATTTTACATCGTCTGCCGCAGATAATCATCTTGAATTGAGATCTAACGGAGCACTGAAATCTAATCGCAAATTTGAGAAGGTACTGTATCCGCACGGTTTTTTTCTTTCTTTCTCGATACGGTGTCACCATTCTTGAGTTTGTTGCTGATTTGACCAGATTTCAGGGCTTGTATTTGTCTTTTGTAATTTTAATACTGTGCATGGTGTTATGATGGATTTTGTTTGTGACGAAGTTGTGGACTGTTCGGTTCCTGTAAATATCGGTGTATTTTAGATTTTCAAGGAAAATTCTCTTTCAGCTCAATGGGCTGCACAGTTAAGGTATGACTAGGAATCTGTTGTCTTTTTGGTCTTTAGAATACTTTAACGTGGATTTTCGAAGGTTTTCTGGTCAGTCAGTGAAGTAATAATAAAATTGCAAATACCGATAATATTGTTCCGGCAAACAAAAAACGCGGATTTTACTGTTGTGAAAAGCTGTACGTTTCTATTCGAAGAAGACTCTTTTACGATTTGTTTGTATTTTTCTTTGCAGGATTTCGCTGCGGGAAGTGCATTGATCTGCCACACGAACATCGATCGGGAAAACGGAACTAGTGATTCATTCATTTGTGGTATGTTGGCGAGGCCGATCGATG